GGTGTATAGGAAACCCCCCCCCCCCCCCCCCCCAGTGCAATTGGGGCTAAATTGAGTTAATTGCCATTCAAGCTACATGTGTAAACTAGCAGATTGCCTGTCAAGAATGAAAGGAGGCAGGGCGGGGCAGGGGTGGCAGTGAGGGAACCCCACATCTGGCCCTGCTCTACCCCCACCCCACTCCCTGTGCTTTGTCTCTGCCCCCATCCTCCCCACCACCTCCCTCCTGCTGTTCTGGGTCTGCCTGGCCCATGTTTGCCTGCCTCCTTGTTCCACTCCCTTTGTCCGTACCTGCTGCCTCCCCCTCCTTACCAGCTGTTGGGTGGCAGGGGGGTGCTGCCACCATGATGCTGCCCTCAGGCAAGGAGGCAGGGGGAAGCCCCACTCCCTGCTCGGATGGCTGGGCATGTTCCAAACTTCCCCAGCAGTGGTGCAAACTTGGGCCTGAGCCGCGCAGCCAATCACTGCCCACCCTCTTGGTGGTGCATGCCTAGTTTGGGAGCATTATGTACAGACAGACAAACTAAGCCTTTTATTATATTAGAATGACTATCCAGGGCCTGTTTTGATGCGAGTCAAATGTACTATGCATCAAGTAGACCTTGGCTCCCTAGAAGTAGTGAGAGATTTGGAATAATATGCATTGGAACTCTTTAATAGGCACAAGAGATTGGGTGGTGATTGCTTAAATAGTCTTGGTCTTAACAGTGTATTCTCCCCAGCTCTGCAGATAGTACTGTTTTACATTATGATATCGGAACAGGATTTCATCACATGAATTTTGGCAGGAGAGCTACAGATGCGCTTGTTTCTTTATTTTGCCTTCAGGGACGTCCATCAGGGGATGCTTTTATCCAGATGAAATCTGCAGACCGAGCTTTTCTGGCTGCACAGAAGTGCCATAAGAAGACAATGAAGGACAGATATGTTGAAGTCTTTCAGTGTTCTGCTGAGGAAATGAACTTTGTATTAATGGGGGGCACTTTAAATCGAAATGGCTTGTCCCCACCACCATGTAAGTTACCATGTAAGTTTTGCCTGGGTCTTGGCACTGCTCTATGCTGTGTGCTGGTAGGTGTTGGAGCTTCTTTCTTGACTGTCTTTCTGGTTCTTTGAAAGGTATATTTAATGGGGATGGTTAATGCAAGGCTTTTCCATCTGCAATCAATGGTAGCCTATGATCACTTTTTTTTTTTTTTTCTTTTGGCTGTGGATTACTATGACATGGGAGAAAAAACTATATTCAGGTTATGCACGTGACTTCTTTCTTCCCCCTCCCCACTTGCAAACTTATCTTTCTGAAGCTTAACTTGCCCAGGACAAGCAATCACTCTTAAAAGTCAATTGGACTACCAAGGTCTTGATAAGGAACATTTTCATTTTAAAAAAATATATAATTTGGGTCATATCTATATAGCACTTTTCAATTAAAAAAAAATAATTCTCTTAGTGAGAAAAAGTGAGAAATAGTTCTCTTTCTCACTTTTAAATAAAGTTCAGTTGCAACCATTATGCTTTTTTCAGACTTAAGCACAAATATTCTGCCTGTTATTAACGCCTACTAATCCATGACTTCCTCTATGAACAATCTAAATTATTATGGAGTTAAGTCTATTGGGGCATTTTATACACATACCTTTTTGCACTACAGCATGCTGGAGATCCGGCACATTGGCGCAGACTCAATTAATTGAGTTTGCTCCACACATGAGCTGATGCACTTTGTGCTGCATCGCTTGCAGTTGTATAAGTGGTGAAATGCGCATCAGCTCACAGAAAATAGTGGCGATGCGCTTTTGAACTAAAACACTTCAGTGTGGTGTTTGAGGCCTCCTGCCTCCTCCAGCTTTTAAATCATTCTCTTGCTGCTCAGGTGAGTGGCATGGGGCAAGGGAAAGCTGCAGGAGCTGGGAGCCTGGTGTAAGGAGACTTTCCCTAGCCCAACTTCTGACTCAGAGCAGTGCAGGGCAAGGCAGGCTGCCATTGCCACTGTAGCAACAGCCCAGGAGCCTGGCAGCAGGGGTGAGGTTTTTTGTTTGTTTGTTTGGTTTTTTTGCAGGGGGTGTGGTGGGGAAGGTTGGTTGGTTGGTCTGTGTCGTCC